CCCCCTTGACCTGTCTGTCCTCCCTGGACTGACCTATCCCCTCCCTAACTCCCCACCTACACTAACCTTTACTGGCTCCATCCCCGCCTCTTCGATCTGTTTGTTTCCTCTCCACCTATCCTCTCCTCTATCCATCTTCTATCCGCCTCCCCCTCTCTCCCTATTTATTTCAGAGCCCCCTTCCCCTCCCCCATTTCTGATGAAGGGTCTAGGCCCGAAACTTCAGTCTTTCTGCTCCTATGATGCTGCTTGACCTGCTGTGTTCATCCAGCTCTGCACCTTGTTGTCTTGAAATTCTGAGCTTGAGTGACAATATGTAATTTTCAGAGATGGGACCGCATCATGTAGCTGTTTGGTGTCACCCTGCGTATCCATTGTGGCTGTTTGACCAAGATGCCATGACTTGCCAAGATATAGCAGACTGTGTGACACAGCACAGAGGCCCCAGTGACAGTAACCTTTCGTTTCTTTCCTGCTTTTTTTATGCAGCTGGATGAAAAACTGGTGGGTGAGTCGGAATGCCAGGCACCACCCAGAGAAACTGTACTGTCGTTGGGAGCAGGACCATGACTTACAGGACATGGGACAACTTGGCCTGTTCTATGAATATCTGGAAATGGGTGAGTGAAATAGCTAACCAATGTCAAGTCAGGAATGCAGGAGAGAAATGCCCCCAGTATTGAACTGACTTGTATCTTTACTGGGACCATCAATTAATTTCAGCCTCAATTGCCAAAATCCTTTTCTTTTACAAAGTTGTGATATCCAGTTGTTTGTTAGGTCAGCTCCCGATTTACAGCAAAATATTTTTGTTCATTCAACATTCTTTAATCTCACTGCTCAATATGCTGGCCCGAGGATGTAATCCGGAAACCTTTTTTTAATCCAACTCTTTTTTTATTTTCAATCTGCTTCTTCATGAACAGTTGGAATACATCCTGGTGACGATAGGCTATAGGAAGGATGTTGTTAAACTAGAAAGGGTAGAGGAAAACTTTACAAGAATGTTGTCGGGACTAGAGGGTTAGAGTTATAAGGAGAGGCTGAGTAGGCTGGGAATTTTTCACTGGAGCGTCAGAGGCTGAGGCATGACCTCTTTCGAGGTTTATAAAATCCATGAGGGGCATGGATAAGATGAATAGCCAAGGTCTTTTCCCCAGCATATGGGAGTCCAAAACCAGGCGGCATAGGTTTAAGGTGAGACGGGAAAGATTTGAAGGGGACCTGAGGGGCACAGTTTTCACACAGAGGTTGGTGTGTGTATAGAATGAGCTGCCAGAGGAAATGGTAAAGGTTGGGTGCAATGACATCTGGATGGGTACGTGAATACGAAAGGTTTGGAGGGATATGGGTCAAACGAAGGCAAATAGGACTAAATCAGTTTTGGATACCTGGCCAGCATGCACGAGTTGGACCGAAGGGTCTGTCTCCATATTCTATGACTCTGCAACTCATCTTGAATTATTATCTCTTTTCTGCCTCCACATGCAGAGTGTATTCTAGCCGAATAGTTAATAAGAGAATTTATTGTATAAACCAAAGACTTAGCCTGTGCCTTTGATTCGGGGCCCGACCCTAAATGTCAACTTTCCTGCTCCTCTGATGCTGCCTGGCCTGCCATGTTCCTCCAGCTCAGTCTGTCAGGTTTCAGTTCTGGCAAGACAACACAGCATTGCTCCATAATTGTTGAACTCAATTTTATGATGTTACAAAATAATGAGATATAATTAAATAACTATAATGAACTGAAGAATCCTAAATACTAGGCTTTCCTCTGTTAAAATTGCTTTGTTTCCTGTTACCTTTAAGCAGGAAACTTGTTGCAAACGTGTTTTCAAATTGAGCCAAGACTATTCATGCAGTAAATATCATTATCGTTATAGAGGGTTTACTTCACTACACTTTGCAGTAACAGTTTGTATGTTTTCTTATTCAGAACACTGAGCAGAAATGACAGAACTGGAAGGAATGGAGTAGATGGAAAGGAAGCATTGAATAGTTAAGATTAAAGAAAAGTTTGAGTTCAAAAATAGGAGATTGTGTTGATCTAAAAAAAGAAGTATACTTATGAACAAGCCAGCAAATGAATTAGAAACAAGAGTGAGCCATTCAGCCACTTGAGGCTGTTCTGCCGTTTGATTGAAATTCGATAAGGGGTGGTCCGGTGGCTCAGTGGTTAGCACTGCTACCTCTCAGCACCAGGGACCTGGATTCGATTTTACCCTTGGGCGACTGTCTGTCTGGAGTTTGCACGTTCTCCCCATGTCTGCGTGGGTTTCCTCCGGGTGCTCTGGTTTCACGTTGTGCAGGTTCAGTGGATTGGCCATGCTAAATTGTCCATAATGTCTGCACATGCCTGGACAAGTTGGGTTAGCCATGGGAAATGCAGGGATAGGGTAGGGGGCTGAGTCTAGGTGGGATGCTCTTCATAGGGTTGGTTTGGGCTGAATGGCCTGCTTCCTCACTTTAGGAATTCTATGGTTCTAAAATCTGCTTCATCCCATTTCCCCCTCCTTGCTCAATCTATCTATCTACATCTGTCTTAAGAATATCTGATGACTGTGCTTCTTCTGCCTTTTGAAGATGAATTCCAAAGATGTACAACCCTCAAAGAAATAATTTCTCCTTATCACTATCACTATCTTAAATGGGTGATCCCTTCTTATATAGTGACTTTCCTAGATCTGAATTTTACCACAAGGTGAAGCATATTTCCCCTCAGGATTGTACATGTTTCAGTCAAGTCACTTCTTACTCTTCTAAACTCTAGTGGAAACAACCTTTCGTTAGACAGTCGACCCCTTCCAGGTAATTTTTTTTCAATATGATAAAAGGTAATTTAAGGAAAAATTGGACAATAAGGAGGAAATAAAATGTAATATCTCAAAGTGAACAAGTTCCATGGGATCTTGTTTAACTCCACTTTGAATTTAAAAAAAATTAAATCCTAATTTTCTGGCATTTTCATAGAATTGTGTCAGTGCGGAAAGTGGCCATTTGGTCCTCTGAGTCTGTACCAACTCTCCAAAGAGCATCCCACCCAGACCTCCCACCCTATCCCCATAGTCACCACGACTAACCCACTTAGCCTGCACATCCCTGAACACTACAGGCAATTTAGCATGGCCAATTCATCCCACCTGCACATCTTTGGACTGTGGAGGACACCGAAGCATCCAGAGGAAACACATGCAGATGCGGGGAGAATGTGCAAACACCAGACAGACAGTCACCCAAGGGTGGAATCGAACCTGGGTCCCTGGTGCAATGAAGCAACAGTGATAATCACTGAGCCACCATGCTGCCTATTTTTTCCCTTCCAAATTATACACTTTATAATTTCTTGAGCAAATAGCATAAATGAATCATGTTTCTGGAGTCTCCCTTTTTATGTTAATTCTGGCTAAAATTGTAAGCCATCTTTCCTTTAAGTAATATTCAATAAGGGATGGTCATAAATTGGACGTGGGAAAGAGTATTGCGAACAGAAAGGATTACAGCTGTGTTATGTGCTGTTTACATTGCAGTCATCCAGTTTGGGTTTGTCACCCTCTTTGTGGCCTCATTTCCTCTGGCACCTGTTCTTGCTCTGCTGAACAACATTATCGAGATCCGCGTGGACGCCTGGAAGTTCATCACACAGTTCAAGAGACCCGTGGCAGCAAAGGCACACAGTATAGGAATATGGCATCAGATTCTGAACGGTGTGGCCATTTTTTCTGTAGTTACGAATGTAAGTGTTCTGCTTCGTGCAGGGTTGGTGTAGCACCATAAATTCCTAATGCAAAATACCTCATTTTCATGACTAGATTTCCAAGATCCTCGCTGTTGCTAAGAAACATGGTCCGCCTTGAATTGAGACCAAAAACAATGAGTTAAGCACTTATCCATTGGTGTGGACTTGGGAAGTCGCCTAGATTTTATGTTATAGTCCTTTGGTTGCTCTCAGACTGTTGGTGTCGAGTGGAGCTATATAAAGTCATACAGCTGCAAGTCTTAGACCAGAATTTTGCCAGAAAGAAAAGAAGCAGGATTAGGCCGTAAAGTCCCTAAAGCCTGTGGCCCCCCCTTCACTATAATTATGACTGACCACTTATTTTAGCTCCATGGTCCAACCGTATTCACATGTGAAAAAGGACAAGCTGGGAGAAGAAAACATATCGTCTATCCCAGTCTGTCCTACAAAACTCTGATACCTTCTGCACCACAAATTATCGTTAGGACCAAGTTTAGTGGAGTGCAGATGTGGAAATCTGAAACAAATATAGGAATTACTATAAAAAGCAAAGTTGAGATTTCATGGTATTCTTACTTCCAAATTATAGTGATTGTAACAAGGTCAGCCAGGTGGACCTCATAGAATATGAGCTCCCTGATTGGAGGCTGTTAACCTCGTCTAGTAAGGGAGTCCTGCTGACAGATATAAACAGGAGTGTCAGAGGCTCTGTTCACTCTGAGAGTCGGCTCTGAAGGAGCCGGATCAGTGCCAAGGACTCTCCATGTGTAAATAAAGGGTGACTTGGGGACAGGATACCAGCCTTTGTGGAGTTATTTCACAAATTACTCTCTTTTCTTTATAATTTCTTCAGCAAATAGTGTATACGAATCAAATTAACTCTGCTTTCTCTCCACAGAAGCTGCCAGATGTGCTGAGTTTCTTCAGCAATTTAGGTTTTACCAATATATTGTTATGGCCAAGTTTATATTCTAAACTATCTATTTCAGAATTGAAATCCACAAGCTAAGTTTTTTGATAAACTTTTTTTTTACAAAACACGACTTATGAAGTATACATACAAAACTTTTCAGCACACAACAATAAAGGCAAAATACTGCAGATGCTAGAAATCTGAAACAAACACAGAGAATGCCGGAGAAACTCAGCAGATCTGGCAGCATCTGTGGAGAGAGAACCAGTTAATGTTTCAAGTTTGGTATGACTTTTCTTTGGAATTGAAAGGAATTGGAAACAGAAAAAGAACGGAAGCAAAGGACGAACAAGACAGCAGATGTATAGAGACCCAATGCAAAAGACAAAGTGGTTCTTACTAGTGAAAAAGGGGAAGAAATGTAAAAAGGATGTATATTAAGGTGTGAAAGGGAAGAATTAGCCCTTTCTACTAAGTGCAAAGTAAGCAAGATACAAACTCGAAGCAGCTTGGGGGAGTGGGGTGGGGTTGTTGAATGAGAATGTAAGAAAAATGGAGGGCATACATAAAGTGATCAGTCTCTGAAGTTTTTGTATTCAGTGTTGAGACCTTGAGTCTCATTGGAAATGTAACAGGAATGTTAGCATGACAGGTCATTGAAATGACAAGCTACTGAGAGATAGGGGTTTTCCTACAACAACTACAGGAGATGCTGGTGACACCACATCTGGACTATTGTGAGAAGTTTCATAGAACCTACAACTGTACAGCACAGGAACGGGACCTTCGGCTCACAATGTTGTACCGAACACCATTAAACTAGTTGTTTCATCTGAAGTTATCGACATGCTCGCCGAGCCGGTGGGTTTGGTTCCAAATGTTTCGTCACTTTGCTCGGTAACATCGTCAGTGCGCCTCTGGTGAAGCATTGGTGTTCTGTCCTGCTTGTTATTTATAAGCCTCAGTTTGCTGGGGGTGTTTGGTACCACTTCCAGTTTTGTTTCTCAGTGGTTTGTACACAGGGTCTAATTCAAGTTGTTTATTGATGGAGTTCCGGTTAGAATACCAGGCCGCCAGGAATTCCCTGGCGTGTCTCTGTTTGGCTTCTGCAATTATGGATGTGTTATCCCAGTCAAATTTGTGTCCCTCTTTGTTCGTGTGTAGTGAGACCAGTGAGAATTGGCCGTGTCTCCTGGTGGTTAGTTGGTGTTCGTGTATCCGTATTGTCAGTTTTCTTTTGGTTTGCTTAGTTCCGGGTTGCTGCAATGTGTTGTTGCTCGTTTAAATAGTGTCCTAATGCAGTTCTGTTTGTGGGCACTGGGGTAGTTGCTAGTGTATTTGAGTATCTGGTCCATATGTGTGGTCTTTCTATATGCACTAGCCTGGAGTTACCTATCATTATGTCCAGGAAGGCTAGTCAGTTATTCTCTTCTTCGTTTGTGACTTTTATCCCATGAGGATGTTGTTTATGTAATGTTGGGTTCCTTCTTGTTTTGTGTGTTTGATAATCATGAAGATACCATCTACATATCGCACCCAAAGTTTGGGTTGTATAGTGGGAAGTGCTGTGCGTTGTAACCTTCGTATTACTGCTTCTGCAATCAGTCCTAATATAAAAACTAGAAGAAACCCAGTGACACATAAACAATATTCTCACCGGGATGAAAAAGACGAGAACAATAGCTGACTACCCCTCCTGGACATAATGGTAGAACACAAAAACAACACGGAACTCCAGACTAGAAAGACCACACATACGGACCAGTTAATCAATTACACTATCACACCCACAAACAGATCTGCATCAGGACGCTATTTAAATGAGCCACGACATATTGCAGCAACCCGGAACTACGTAAAGCAGAACAGGAGCACCTATACGGAGTCTTCTAAAGGAATGGATACCCATGAAGCACAATCTGCCGTTACCTCCGAGACAGACCACAACAGGAAGACACAAAACGACCGGACTGACTAGTCACCCTACCATAGATCAAGGACATTTCAGAGATGATCTCGAGACTACTCAGACCCCTAGGAATCAGGGTAGCCCACAAACAGACAACCACCCTACTGATGAACGTAAAGGATCCCATACCCAAAACCAGCAAAATCAGTATCATGTACAAAATACCACGCAAGGACTGTGAGAAACACTACATAGGCCAAACCGGAAGAAAACTGACAATATGGATACATGAACACCAACAAGAGACACAGCCAATTCTCACTGGTCTCACTACACATGGACAACAAGGTACATGAATTTGATTGGGACAATACATCCATAATCGCACAAACCAAACAGAGACACACCAGGGAATTCCTGGATGCCTGGTATTCTAACCGGAACTCCATCAACATTGAATTAGACCCTGTGTACAAACCACTGAGAAACAGAACTGGAAGTGGTACCAAACACCCCCAGCAAACTGAGGCATAAAAATAACAAGCGGGACAGAATACCGACGCTTCACCAGAGGTGCACTAATGATGTTACCGAGCAGGGTGATGAAACGTTTGCAACCAAACACACCAGCTCGGGGAGCATGTCTATAACCTCATCCACAACCTGAGCTACAAATCTTCTCTCACTTACCTACCCTTTCCCTTCTCACACCCTGCCATCCTGGGAGAAGAAAACATATCGTCTACCCCAGCCGGCACCTAACCCCCTATCACCTGGCACCATGCTTACCTGGCACACTACCCACTTGGCACCGTACAATCTATCGTCCTTGACCCAACCCTCCCAGCACTCTAAATATCATACCCATCTTATGTACTGTTTGACAACAGCTGTCTGTGATTTTGGGCCTTTGAGTTTCAGGATACAACAGCTGACTGCTGTGACCAAAGGGGCATAGAGTCATAGAGTCATACAGCATGGAAACAGGCATGGATGTGCCTTTCTCCGACAGTTTTGTGCCGTGTGAAAGTACTGTCAGAATGGCTCTGCATTTCAGC